TTACTTATAAAATGCAAAACACATTGTTGATGATATGTGATGAATGTGGTGAGTGGGCGTGTCTGTGGCGTGGCGGGAAATTTTGATGTACTGTCACAAAACATGAGTTTGCTATAACTCGGCTCCAAACTTCAGTTGTCTGATAAGAGTTCGCCCTGAACTCATATAATATGATAATATGATAATATGCACTAATAGTGAGAGCGCCACCTAGTGGTGAAAGGAAATGTTTTTATCTTTTATGTATATCTCCGAGCAGATTGACCAGATCCAGCTGAAATTATGTCAGCAGTCCCTTAGGATGATGATGATGACATCTTTTGAATCGAAGAATTTTCGTGGAACCACGTTGCCATGGCGACATGGCAAAAATCTGCCTTTTTGTTAACATTTGAACACGTTTTTGGGGGGCTAAACATCCCCCGAAACTAAGGTATTGTCTTGGTCCTGCAGATGGGCGTGAATTGAACTGACAACCCTGAGGGACACTACAGAAACAGAAATGTTTCTTTAAGGGAAACATTTTACTGATTTGTGTCTTGTTGTAATGATGAATTTTAGATATTTAAGAGAAGGCGGATTGACAAACTCACACCAACACTTTCTAGAAGGATAAACAGCACTAAGAGTAAAAACGTGTTTTCTAAATAAAGTGAGAAAATACAGCACTCATTAACAAACATAATAATTATAGATCATTATAATTGATCAGCGATTACTTTAAGTTCAACCTGCAGTTGAATGAAGTCTTCTGCAGCTGCGTTCAAGGACATCGACTAAACCTTCAGAGTTACTAATAATATTGATTTCTGATAAGCTTCTTTCAGTCAAATTTTTTTTAATTTTCACAAGTTTAGCTGTGTGTGACTCTGGGACCTGGTTTACCTGCAGTCTGGTTGTAGGCTTGGCCAACGTTGGTGATGGTTTTAGAGAAAATCAGAGTTGTCTCCTCATCAAACGGTCCGACTGATCCAGAATCAGTCAGACCGGCTGAGAATGCCACCTTTAGCTCATCTGGAAGAAAAGGTTTAACTTCAATGTCTCATAACATTTATAGTAGAAACAATAAGAAGATCTTTATTATATTGAGATGATCTAATTATTTTTTATCAAACTCCAACCTCATTTTTATCATAAAACTTTTAATACTGAGAATGTCTGCTTCACAGAACATTATAATATTCTTCATTTTGATACAGTAAATTTGTCTATTAATTACAGAGGGCACTTCTGTAAAAATAATTAGAAGGTAATTAGGAACAAAGAACACTTAACCATTTTGTCTTTTACTATTTGGGGTTTATATTAATTTGGTTTTACAAATGTTCTTTTTTCTGCCACAAACTGCTGATTGCTGTCAGTGCTGTTATCACTTGTTATAAACAGACATGAACAGTGAGTTTAATCACTAAAATGTTCAGTAGTGGAACATACAAAAACACGAGAAAGTTATTTAATAAAACAAAAACTTACATTGAAGAGTTGATGATGTTACCTGCAGTGTGATTCTCCAGCTGATCCAGCTTTGTCTCAGTGGATGTCAGTCTGCCCTCCAGAGCTGATCAATGATCAGATTGTGTTACTTTATGTAGAATTATTTGTATGGATACATGAGTGCTAACATAAATATAACTCTATCTGTAGTGCTGTTTTGGCTGTCTGTCAGTCTGGACTCAATCAAAGAAAGTTGAACAGACTGAACTGAAAACAAAATCAGCACAAACAAATGTCTAGTATCAAGTAATAAACCAATGTAATAACAATGATAATATGCACTATAATATGTTCAATGACATCATTACAATGTGAAGCTTAATTGCAGTGATTTATTACCAGAAGGTTCTAGGAAGAACCTCCATATGTTTGAGGTTTCTGAAGAACCACCGGGGTTCATTTATGTTTATAAAGGTGTTCCTCAGGTAACCATGTTGGATCCTCCACAGTTTCAACCACAGTTCCACTTTGTTTTCTTCGAGATAAAAACTTTGAACTCCAAACTCTCCATCACTTTGTCTGAATTTCACAGTTAACATATACATTGTTTTATCTGATTTTATTTACTCTGGTTAAATACTTTAAGTCAACAAGTTGACTTTTGACAGTTGACTTTTTATACAAATTTCAACTTTAAAATGTATTAATCTACAGTAAGTTTGAAACCTTCTGTGTGTTACCTGTGTTTTCTGTCTTCAGATCTTCCAGCTGTTTCTCACTGACATTCAGTCTGACCTCCAGAGCTGAACAACA